GACGTCCTAGCATTAACACTGATTCTATTGCGACTTGTCATGATTGTTGTGACGGGTTCCTCCATCAGCCGGCCTGTCAACCTGGGCCTGACGCTGGTATCGTCCCCATTTTTGCAATTTTTGCAAGGCAGGTTTGTGCCTCGGCAGGGATCGAACTCGTGGCTCAGGGTGTGAACATGAGTCTACCACTCGGCTATCCCTGCCTCAGTTGGAGGGCACTAACCCGTTCCCCAATTGCTGAAACCAGCAAACGACTGTAAATGGTGGGGAAAAGGACTAAAGCCACGAAGAGCCGAGAATGGCCACCCTGAGGCTGAGTTCAACTTTGCGGCAGGGTCCACCAGCGACCAGGTGTAGTAGCACGCTGACGGATGCTCGAAACGCTGATGGTCGCTGGTGGACGCTGGTGAACGCTGCCGCAAAGTAAGAACGCAGCTGTACAGTATGTGCAGCAAAGAAGTCTGCAGTTGTATAGCTCTCGTTGGTGCATTCTTTGTTACGCGGAGAAGTGCACAAATGGGGTTATGGCCCATCTTGCCCATCCGCCTATCTGTAGATGGGTCTACAGCAGAAGGCACCTTCCGGTCTCCATCGTTGGAAAGATTCGTCAGCTATCGTAGAGGATTTGACAGTGTTGTGATTCGGAGTTCAGCGAAGGTGCTTATGCCCTGCCTTAGCTGGTAAGACTCTAGCTACCAGCTAACGCAGGGCATGAACTGGAGGCCATAGGGAAATCGACTGCGACTCCCTCAAGAAAAAAAGGGTCTATACCACCCCTGTACCAACCTCTGTGCCAAGCTGCAGTTCCCGCGCTTGAACTAGGGACCAGACGGCGAAGAACAATGGAATAACATACGGAACAAAACCGCTGCAGTAGGCTGGGAGTTCTTCACCTTCGGTGGGCGTGGTCAGCTCCAGGCTCTGGAACGCCCTCCCCGAGCATCACAGGAACCATGACTTCTGTGTACCCGGCTACCAAACGCAGTAGTTCGGCTCAGCTGATCGTGGGCTATGCCTTCAGTCTCTAGATTGGCCTAGAGGGTTCCAGCTTTGTCACTTGTATTGCTACAGCAACCAAGATATCCTGATGAAGTCTTTATAAGGGTGAAATTTGAAAAATGTGAGGTATTCAAATATAGATTAATGTTGAATTGTTTTTTATAGATTCGGCAAAGAATACCTACTGATAATAACGG